GGTAGAATTTTTATCTCACTAGCCAGTTGACAGCTGGGAGCTTGCTTAGTTGTATGAATGTCAGTTAACAATAAGCATTGATAAAAATTCCCATGGGTTCTCATTAAGCTCTTTCTAGTCATAGAAGAAGCTCAAGGAACTTCATGTAAAGATTCCAGGGCTTTAAGAAAATTAAAGAGTGCCCTTTACTCAAATTTTACTGTCTTCTAAGCATTTTTATGGCCATAGAAGGAAATCATTTTAGAGAAATAGAAATGCAATATAGAGCTATAAAATAGCTGTAACTAGACTTGTGATTGTCTCTGAAAATGATTCCTGTAAGAAAAGGTTTGTAATGATTTTTATTGACCGGGGCCATATTTGTCCTTGCTTACAATGTGCTCCGTGTTCAGCACAGTGCCTGGCATACAGTATACACTCACTTAACTTTGTTGAATGAGCAAATACACCACAGGTTTAGCAACAGCGTTGGTAATTTTTTTTAGAGGAATGTATATAATTTCCCATTGTCGATTTTTGTGCTCTGGTGAGTACATTTTGAAGAGAACTGTTTTCTTCTCCTGACCATTGTGATAGTAAAGTGTCATGCTATATATAAGGTAAGCATCCAATTAAGGCCACACTTGAGTCAGCAAAGATCTGGAATTGTGCACCTGACGTTCTTTGGATGAGTGTCATCTTCCAGGGCAGGTGATTAGAATTATTAGATTTTTTCCAGGGCAGGTTTGTAGCCAGTAGGTAAAATAACAGAGACTGTATTGCCATTCCTCTGGTAAATAACTGCTTAATAACAGACTAGTAGAGGGAATTTTCAGCAGAGTAGACATTATTTAGCATTCAATTGTTATATTTCTATTTTCAAGTGAGCAGAAATGAAAAGCTATATTTTTAAATGGAGAAATTTAACCTATAACATCAAAGCATATCCATTTCCCCAGGCATATGCATTTTGGTCCTTTCAATTTTCCAGAATTATATAACATGACTATGCAATTTCCAAGCAAAGAAAGCTCGGGGATTAGCCGGTGAGTGACCTAGCTCATCAGACTTCAGTCATGCAACAGAAGGAGAAGCTACTCTTCATCCTCACTGCCCCCACCTCCCCCCACCTCATTTCTTCCTGGCCAGCCCTGAAGCAAGGACAGGAGGTTGGAGAGAAACCCCAACTGCCTTAAAGCCCCCCGATTCTCAGAGTAGGATCCAGGGACCACCTGCCTCAAAGTCTTCAGAGGCTTGTTAAATACCCATTCCTGGACCTTACCGCAGACCTACTTAACTGGAATCTCTGGCGTGGTATTTTGGAATCTGCATTTTTAGCAATATTGATTTTTAATAATGTCTAATGCACACTGAAATTTGAGAACATGAACTTTTCCAGACAGGTGATATTACGCAAGGGAGTCACCTGACAAGAGGTGTTTTTGTGCCCTTGGCGTTGCATTCTGTCTTTGCCCCCACCGCTTGGGTGCCCCTGGGCTTTGCTTCCCTGTCCTCTCTGCCCTCCAGCGCAAGTGCCCTGGCTCTGGGCTCAGGGGACCTGCTAGACATTTTCTGCCACCCTTGAACTTCTGTTCTTCCCAGAAACATTGGCACAGGCAAGAGACAGTTGGAAAGTGGTGGAGGTATGTGTCCAGTTGGGAGAGCTTGGAGACCGACCCCGTGCAGACTGAGTCAGCTTTCTCCAGTGGGTAAAGAAGCAGGAAAGGGTGAGCCCGTGGACAGAGAGGGCCCACCCACATGGCCAAAACCTTTGCCCCATGGCCTCACACACAAACCTTCTGCTCCGGGGGCACAAGCTGTTCTGTTTCCCCTTTTCCTGAGGTTTCAAGAGAACTGTAGGGACCTTTTACCTGTGATGATTAGTGATGGTCCCAGAGGGCGCTTGCTCAGGCTTTAGACCCCCTCCTGTCTCCCTCTTTTCTTAGCAGCTCCACATAAACCGACAAAGCAATGAAAGTCGGAATGATACTCATATGTTCAATCTGGTCTAATTCAAATCTCCTGGGCTGTAGCCTCCGACCAGACTGCTGCCCCACAACCCCTCTATAATTCTGGAGCCTCTGGTGTGGCCCAGACCTTGAATTCACTCTCTTTCTTAATCACTGCTACTTTTTAATAGTAATGAATTATTTGATAGTTGCCAAAACCTTTTACACCAGGGGTGAGAAAAAGGTTTTCAAAAATAAGTATCCCAGAAAAGACTCAGTACTTGTCAAACTTCAGTGTTCAAAAAGCAGCGTAGGAACCTGTTTAAATGCAGGTTTTCTAGGCCTTAAGTCCAATGGTTCTGATTCAGTGGGTCTGAGGTGGGACCCAGGAATAGCTCAAGTTAAGATGTAAAGGGCCTGTGGGTCTTTGGATCACACCTTGAGACACCCTCGTTTACACACACCTTCAAGGAGTGAATGGCTAATCTCCAGACACCCTTGGATCGGCTGGGGGATTCCAATATCCCAGTATCTCAACTGCCTTACAAAGCAAAAACGGGTGGACACGTCAGGCATTTACACAAATATGACGAGGAGTGAGCTTTGGTATTATGACAATTACACCTAAAGGGAATGAAATCTCGTCATTCTCCTAATCACCTCTCCCTCTCTACTTGCCCCTCAGACCTGAGCACAACTCAGCCGTCCTTTTTTTTTCCTTCAGAGAGAGAAACATCAGTGTGAGAGAAAAACATCAATCTGTTGCCTCCCGTCCCGGGGATTGAACTCATAACCTAAGTATGTGCCTTGATTGGGAATTGAACCCGAAACCTTTTGGTGTACGGGACGTGCTCCAACCAACTGAGTCCTGGCTAGGGCACAACTCAGCCTTCTTGAGCTCAGGCCCCCAAACCTCTCCATCCCCAGCCATTCTGGCTTCCTCTTGATTTGCTTTTAATAAGAAGATGATGCAAAGAAGATGAGATTTGCTTTGAGAATTGTGCCTGGTGTCTGGTTCCTGTCAGAATGCACTCTCTTCATTTCAAGGGTGCATCAGGACTAGAGAAAGATCACCTTTATCCACCCAAGTCAACTTTAGCTCTCACTCATCAGTTTGGAATGGGTCAAATCTTTCCTGTCTATTTTTAGGTCTTTCTTCAGATGTGGTGATTCTTACCACATTTGATCCTATAGACTTTAGGGTAAGAACATGAAGTTATCAAGTGGCATTTTCAACTTGGTCATTCTGAAGCAGTATACAACTTATAAATTTGGAGGAGGTGTGGCAGTTCATGTTTTGAAATTCCTGCTGGTTTTACATCACAATACATACACCTGCACCTGCACCAGGCCATCAGTAACGTCCACCTGAATCCGTAACTAACGCATTGCGCCCTGTTACTTTCTCACATCTGCACCCCTCTTTCTTTATTTCTACCTTGACTTTCTCAACCTCCTAGTCATTTATTTCAAGAAGACCTGGGATGTCACATCAAATGAGTTTTCTAAAGTGACCAAAGGGTTATGTTATGCTATTGTACTAGGTGATTGCAATATTATTAGCAAGATCTCTATAACATTTACCAAGTGCCGGATGATGCTCTAAATATTTTGCAAATGTTCACCTAACAAGCCAATGAGGTATATGAGGTAGGTGATATTGTAAATTACTATAAATTCATTTTGTGGGTGAGGAAACTGAAGCATAGAAAAGTTAAGTAACTCACACAAGGTCATATAGTAAGTGGTGGAGTAAGAATTTGAACTCTTACTCTGTGTTCTTAGTCACTATATTGTCCATCTAAGAAGGCAAAACCAAACCAAACAAAAGCCACCCCCCACAAAAAACAAACAAACAAACAAAAAACCTGTCCAAAAACAAACCCCAAACACCATTCTTCAAAAAAAATTTTTTTTTTCAAGGACATTTTAGAGAAGGAGAATAAATACAGAAACCTAATTTGACAGCATACTCAATATAAAGATGGAATTATCTCATGATTCTTTCATCTTCTATACATTCATTAATTCATTCCAACAAAACCTATTTATTAACAAGAACCCAGAACAACAACCAATATTTATTCAGCACATACTGAGAATTATCTCATTTAAAGCTGGTTTAACTAACAGTTTCCTCGCTAAATATTAACACACCAATAAGAACCATCCTTCCAAGATAATTTGTACTCAGCATAGTGTGTCTAGGAGCCCAAAGAGAATAATTGCATCTACTTTGAGGAAGAGGAGAGACAACAGACCCACAATAAAGGGGCCTTTTACTGCCACCTCTCAGGTCTGTCTAGATAAAAACCCACATTGCTGGTTCCCACCAAAATCTCCTTATGTTTTGGGAAAAGTATTAGCGTGAGAGTTCTGAGCCTGAATTATCACTGTGAGCTGTATGATCCAGGGCAGGTCATAACCTTTCTGAATCTGTTTCCTACCTTTCACTTTTTTTTAAGTCCGAAGGAATTAATATTTATGAAAATAGATTAACCGTGAAGCGGTAGAAAATGTAATATTATAGATCGTTTAAGTGAACATGATAATTAATCTATTTACCTCGCGGTCATGTGACTGCTGTTTCTCCTCCTCCGCCCCAAGTAAACTTTTTTATTTTATTTTATTTTTTTTAATCCTCACCCGAGGACATTTTTCCATCTTTTGTACAGACAGAGTGGGAGGGAGAGAGAGGAAGGGAGAGAGAGAGAGAGAGAAACATCGATGTGAAGGGACACATCGAGTGGCTGCCACCTGCACAACCAACCAGGGCCGGGGACAAACTGCAACCGAGGTACGTGCCCTTAGCGGGAACTGAACCCGGGTCTCTCCGGACCGCAGGCCGACGCTCTAACCGCTGAGCCAAACTGGCCAGGGCCTCAAGTAAACTTTTTGAGGGCAGGAAGCATGTCTTATCATTTTTGCCTCTTAAGACTGTTTCTGACACACAGTAAGTAATCAATACATGTTTCTTGAATGAATAAATAAGCAAAAAGGAGTTTCCAAGGCATTTTGAAAGTTCCCATCTAGGTGAGGGGAGCCCATGAAGGGAAAAGCCGTTCACGGTACCTGCTTCCACCACGTGGTCCATGGTGGGAAACCTCTTGTACACGGCGGTGCTCACCGAGCGGAAGATGAGCAGGGAGGTGAGGTTGACGTAGCGCATGAGTGTCCTTCGCAGCAGGCGCCCGTGCTCGTCCCTCCCGTGGACGCTGCTGGAGATGAGGAACATCAGCCTGTCCGGCCAGGGCAGGTTCACAAACTGGTTCCACCATCGGTTCACTACCAGAGTAACGTAAAACCCTGCAGAACAACAGGGAGACTATAAAGCACCTTCTTAGAGCAGACACGCCAACACTGATGCTTTTAGTGGAATTTTAGCCTTTTTAGGGATTGGGGTGTAAAAATACGTTGTTATCCATATCTTACGATTTTTGCCCTCCAGGAAAAAAAAAAAAAAAATGGAACGTGTGCCTGGCAATGCCGTGGCACCCAGTAAGTGGGTATTAGAACTAAAAAATGGGCAGCAAAATGGAAGGTTAGTGAAGAGAAAGCTTCATTGTCCAATAGCAGATTATTACCTCAAACTTGTTTGGTGTTAATTTAGCGAAAGCAGCCCTGAAGGCGAACCTTACGGACGATTCTGGTTCTAAGCAAGCGGTGGCTTCAGGCATGCCTCTCAGCTCGGAAACACTCCCATGCAGAGTCATCGGTGCCATCCTAACGGAGACAGCTGTGTGGCTGCATTCTGCGTGTGACCTATACTTACCAAGCACAAAGGTTACTGGAATTTGTTCAGCATATCTGTCACAGTAAATTGATAATTTTTCAAAGTAACGTTTTTGGGCTCCTGTAAGTAACAATCTGGAGCAAAAATAAAATGCACAGCCCTTTATGATATTATACTTCTGCACCTGCTTTGCAAGTGATATTCAGTGCAAACAATTAAGCACATATAATCTTAAATTTCTTTTTTTAAGGAGCTATAACGTTTTCTTTGCTACCTAAGCTGATGTATCTCAAAAGCTGAGTATTTCAAGTACTAAAATTTTTAGTACATAAATGTTATTGGCCATTGGATTTATTAAACATTTTACTTTAAAATACTTCATATTTTTAGGCTTCATATGGTTAATGCAGTGGATTTGGAGCAAAATACCTCACAAAAAAGTTTGTTTAAAATCATCCATTAGGTGTACTCAAAGAGAAAAGAGAGTGTCTTGATTAAGAGGATTACAGTTATGATTAAATAATAACTTTGATTTTGACGTCTTAATCTTACTTTCTCCTGAATATGCTACTCAGCACATTCTTGATTTTCTGTGTTGTATTTCAAGGCATAGTATAACTTTATTTTAAAGCCTGTAATTATTTAAAATATAAAATATAAAATTATATGAAATAACAGATTTAATAATTAAAATTGAAAACTTTTATTATTATACTTGGTGGGTTTATATTAACATAATATAAATATCAAAATTTATATTATAGATACGACGCAAATTTATTTCATAGTATTACTAAACAAATTTATATAACAGACCTATTATTAATATTTATGTTGTCAGGAGGAGATTCAGAGTCAGAAGGAATGTCTCAAGGTAGGTTAATAATAATGATCAAAATCTAGAAAGAGAACAAACAGAGGTGAATCTGCATCAGTGAATGAGTGTAGCTGTTCCACAGGAGAAAGGAATCCCTTGGAAAGATCCATGTTAACATGCTTCAGAGGCCTATGTGGGTCAGTGGGACTTTGATAAAGGAAGCAGAATGATGACGACGTAACAGTGAGCCACCAATCAGATTGCAGATAAAGAAATGGGAGCTGGTGCTGACAAAGAAGGGGTATGGGATATGCAGTGTGGGTGGGCTTGGAGTTCTTGCCTCAGCTTTGGAGAAGACGTCAGAAATTCTGATCAGGAAAAGCTAACAAGAGAGGCATCACCTGTTGGCACAGCCTACCAGGTCATGCTGAGGAAAAGTTACAGCCAGAATGGTTTCTGAGTCTCAAATGGAAATAATCGAAGAGGCTTTAATTGTGGAAAGCACAGACCACAGGTCAGGGGAAGTCGGGTTTGAATTCCAGATCTGCCACTTATAGATTTGAACTTTGAGCATATTTTTAAATCTCTCTGAGACTCCGCTTTCCCATTTGTAAATGGGGATAATAGTATTTATGCATCAGGGATGTTATGAGGATTAAAAAATATACATTATATAAAACAACTGATGGTTTTATTATTAATGTGATTGTTATTAATAATTGGCCAAAGGAAAAAAATATTTAGCTAATAGACACAGAAATTTTACTAGTTAGAAAGTACTACAGCAATTACTTTGTCAAATCCATAAAAAAACAGGAAGAGATATAATCGAATTAATGAATTCTGGTGCTGTCTTATGACTTTTGCTAAGTATATTTATTTGCTTTTAATAGGGTAAAAACAGGGTCATTAGTAGATGTGAGAAGGAAACAATGTCTATATTTTTCTACACGTATATTTGACTTCCTTGACAAATTCAGCCTATAGTTCTTGTTACACCTTTGATCAAGATATAGGGATCTATTTTAAGAAGCATTTACAATTGGACTTCAAAAAATAAAGAATGATTTGAACTAATGGTTATTGTTATAAATGTAAGCACTCTTTGGTTTTTAGAAAAAATATATGCATAAATTTTGTGGAGTATAAATAAGATATTGGAGCAAAAGTTACATCTCCACGGAGCATTTCTGGCTACAATGCAACTGTTCTAAGGGCTATTCTATTCTAAGCAGCAGAGCAGCAATAAACTCACATTAGTAAAAATAAACTGAGACAATTAACGTCATGTGTCTTCTGTCATCTCATATTCTGAAGGATTAGGTAACACATAAGTAACTTGTCAAAATAATATTATAAGACATATCCGAAAAATTATTGGAGGTTTTTAATAACATTCCCTTTAAAGACATTGGCCAAAATGTATACGAATATATACATTTATTTGGAATAGTGGTTTTTATATTTAGCTAAATACATCTTCCTATTCTACTTTTGATAATTATCAGCCATCCAAATTAATATCTCTCTTCTTCAAATGGGTCCTGTTGCTGTGAGGAAGAATGTAGGTGAGAGCAAGGCTATACAAATTTGTTCATTTGTATGCAGAAGGAAAGTAACAAACTGATGTACGTAACAAGGTGGAAATACAGTCTCGAAAACCTTTAGCGCTTCTATTTTTAGATTTAATTCCCACCAGAGAAGAAATATATGCAATCAATTTTAATTTAAAAAACTCATAAAGCTTCTCTTTTATAATACTGATAACACTTTATTAAGACTATAATTTTTAGTCATAAAAGTATTTCTTGGACATAATATTGCTCAATTTTTCTGTTAATCTGACAGGCATAGGTTGTGAAGTTATAAGGAATAAACATCTCCTTTTGTAAATATAACATACCTCGAACTCAGAATATATATATAAAAAAAATCAGTGAGTTTTCAGGCCTTTTCTTGATTTGAGGTGTTGGCAAGGTTGGTAGGCACCGTCATTCCAGGCAAAAGGGAGGAAAATGCCTATATCAGGTGTAGATGCCTCAAACATTCACAAACATGTTCATTACATAGGTTACTACAAACTCTCAAATCACAGATTCAAACTATGATCTACAGAGTTGAGAGAGGCTCAAGTAATTATTCATTTGTAGACTTTGCCGTTCGTAATCATTGTGCAGAGAGGCTCTAAGTACAAATCTTCCATTTTGTGCCTCTAGCAACATTCTTGACACACAACTAATACCTCATCGTCATCACTTCATGTGGGGCTGGAGTGAGAGCCACCTAAATGTGACGGTTAGAGACTATTTAACATCCTAAAAATGGTTGGTGTGGATTAAAATACCCTGATCCGGGGAGAAGAAGGCAACACAGAGGATCATGCAAAGGAGGATTACATATGCGAAAGTCAGCAGCCACCGCGGGGCTCAGATTTTTGAGACTGTATTCTCACGTGATACTCGATGGCCAGTGAGGAAGACATGCAAAGAAAAGTACCTGTACACCAAACTTATTGCTGTGTAAAAAACAGCAAAAACAATAAATTCCCTGTATAGTAGCTTGTAGATGCTGCCTCTCCACTTGAGGAGTAACCTATGAAATCCAAAAAAAAGTCGCATTGGCTACTTTACTGGAGTAAGTGACAGTCATCTTGGATAGTTTTTTTCTAGAAGAGTAAGAAGACAAAATACAGGTAAGAAGCCACGTTTAAGACCAAGCATAAGTCTGCATGTAAGGAAACCCATACCAGCAGTCAGCCACCTCCCCTTTTTTTGCCTTTCTCAGTTCATGCAATTTGGAATTTGGAGATAACCACTGTCTTAGTGCTAAATTGTTTAGTAGAAGAAAGGAGGAAAAGCATCTCTGGAAAGAGTAATGTCAGCAAGTGTAAGCTTGCCTGAATTTCTAAGTATTATTTTTAGATTATATAGTCATTCTTTCATAAATAGTTGGATGGATAAATGAGATATATGAGATACATTGTAATGTTACTTATCATATGCTTTCTTAACCCACAGGAAGATTTAGGGTATTGATATGCTATATTGATTGACATTTTCTTTTTTAAATATGTTTTTATTGATTTTTTTTTTTTTTTTAAAGAGATAGATAGAGATAGAGAGACAGAGAATCGATCTACTGCCTTCTGCACACCCCACTCTGGGGATTGAGCCCACAACTCCGGCATGTGCCCTGACTGGGAATTGAACTGGGACCTTTAAGTCCATGGGACGATGCTCAATCCACTGAGCCACACTGGCCAGGCTTGACTGACGTTTTCAAAAGCAGTGACCAAACTTATTCTTGGAGCCTTTATTTGCTAAGGTATGGCAAGAGGTATTTATTTCATCTTTAAACTTCCTAAGGGGAAGTTACAACTCTTTCCTTAGAAATCAGGAGACATTGCTAGAAAGAAGCAAGCCCCTTGTGGGGATTTCACCGGTGGGTTATTTTTGCTGGTTTCAGTTCATAGTTGGCACTCTAGGACTTCAACGGGTGGACAAAATGTTGGGCCGCAGTGACACTAAGAAGGGTACATTTTCTCTTTGAAAAGTGGAACACAAAATGCTTAGGGATGGTTCACTTTCTGTTTGGAACTGAAAAAACGAGGCCACTATTTAGGACTCTTTGCAGTTGGATCTGCTCCAGGGATGCGGGTAGGATGAGAACTGGGCCCCAAAGCTCAGTTTTCAGTGAGTTCTTTGGAATTCCATTGCTTTTCACCAAGAAATCACACATTCAGGTTTTGAGAAGATGGCCCAAAGTTAATCTCACAGAATCCTGCTCAACTACTCTCTAACACGGAGCACACACAGATAAAATGAGATTTCTTTGAAACTTTTTGGTTTTCCCAAAGGGATATATGAGGAGAGTCTTATGGGGCTACCTAGACTAAAATTCTGGAGCTTTTAGGGAGAATTGTATGAGACACAAGAAATAAATCCTATAGATAATTTCTTGTATAAAGTAGCCTATAGCACACATTTCACTATAAACAAAAAAACATTCTACTTTTATTCAGAGCTGGGAAAACAATCCAAATCTAATTTGTTTGTTTCCCTAAGGAAATAAAACTCTGAAACTATAATCACAGTATTTTTTTTTTTTTTTTGGTAATCACAAATTTAAGCTTTCAATATTACTGATTTCAATTAAAAACACAAAAAACAACTCAGAACCCTTCGGTCTGAATAAGTGGCGTTACGAAAGGATGGGATTCATGCCACAAAACCGGTTTCACATTTCTGTCTTCACCTTGTCTCTTTGTCTAATGCGAACACAGCCAGAATTGGGAGAGGACCGTAATAAATTCAGCCCATTTCATAATTTGTTCTCGAAGCAGTTTTAAATAACAGTTCTCTCATAACTTTCCTTCACGGAACAGTTCAGCCTTCTGGTTCGGCTCTGTCTGAAAAGCAAAGACCAGCTAGAGTAGAGGTCAGAATGAAAAGGCAGCACTAACCTACTTGTTTGATTTGGATCCGCGGCAGGACAGTCCTCAGGCTGGCCCTGGGCAGGGCCCGGTCCGCGGCCCTCTCCGCTCCACGCTCCGCTCACGCACAGAGTTCCTTTCTGTTCTCTGGCCACCGAGCGCACCCAGACAAGTACAGGGGTTAAATGATTTTCCACTTGTGGAGGCCTGTTTATGCCAATTTGCCCAATGATGACAGTTATAGCCGGAACAAACAGCAGCAGCAGCTGCTGAGGTGGCTTTTTCTAATCTATAATTATAACTCCACCTGCCGCCCAAGTACCCCTTTGAATGAGAAGTCCGAGGTGACGTGAAGGAGGACCGGCCGTTTAAGTCTGTTGTTTTCACTTTTGACTTTGCCCTGGGATGAAGGAAGAAAGCCATTTCCCCCTAAAGAGTTCTGAAGAGTCCCCACCAACCAAAAAAGGGAATTAGGACAGTCAGTGTGTGCTCAAGACACAGAATAAACTCTCACGAAGCCATAAACTGGGGCAGACAAGAATATAAACAGGATTTACACTCATTGGTGAGGTATTGCAAATGCTCTTCCATGAAAAACAACAAGCACGTTGGGGAGAGACAGAGAGAGTCTTTCAAAAGAACTCAGGGTGGAAAATGATTACATACTGATTTAGTACCTTTGTTATCTCTCCCTGGTAGGCTAGGCAGATTTTTTAATTATTCAAATGTTTTCTCTTAGATTATGTTTGCATATTTTTCTTTTTGAGAGAGCTCAAGAGAGCATTCTTTAAATGATGAAATAAATAATGTCAGGACCAATTCCTATCATTTTTTCCAATCTTCTAAAGTAACACGTGCACCAAGCACCTTAAGCTTAAATAAAATGATGACAAAAATACCTGTATTTCTGTTGAGAAACATGTAGAAAAATAATACTTATTCTAAAATTGGAAACATACACATTTAAAAGTGTTTCTATAATATTTTTAAGTTTCAGATGCGTTAGACTAGTTTAGTATTTTCCCCCTTTATTGATTTTAGAGAGAGAGGAAGGGAGACTGAGATAGAAACATTGATGAGAGAGAACACCGTTTGGCTGCCTCCAGCACGCCCCCCACTGGGGATCAGGCCACAACCTGAGCATGTGCCCTGACCTGGAATTGAACCAGCAGCCTCTTGGTGCCTGGTTTGACGCTCAACCACTGCGCCACACCAGCCAGGCTACACTGGTTTCTCTATCAAACAAACTATAAGCACCTCGGAGCAAAGACTGTTGCAGGTGTCTGATTTCCTGCCTCTTTCCTGTTCACAGTTCCAGAATGGAGCACTGTGTATAATGAATATTCAGTATGTGTTTGTAGTTGATCATCACCTTATCTTCACTGTGCTACTTCTATTGGTGCACGTGGGGGATTTTTTGAACATTTTGAAAGCATATATACTATGCCGCACATTTTATATTTGGGTTGCCGTAAAAAGTGGTAGGGTAGACCTGATATTGCATTTATAAAGGGTTTCGAGGCTAATCGATGCTATACAATTTTAGTAAATCTAAATGCAAGTGCTTATGAAATGGAAACACTGGAGGTATTTCTTTTTTTAATGTTTACTCTTAAGTCTTTCACTGGACGTAAGGCAGCCCTGAAATGTGGCCTAGCTCCTAGCAGTCACAACTTTGTAATGAGATTTGACTCTTCCACGGGGCGCTGTGGCTGGTTTCACTTTGAAACAGGGATGATTATGTTCATCTCTCCCATCAGGCTGTTTTGAGGAGTGACTAATTAATGGTTGAGATAATATTCTAAATTCAAATTAGTCAGTAGTGGTTAGATTGAATGAACAAACTCCCATTATTGAGCTCTGAGTCTGGTGTCTATTTCTAACAGGTACCAAAAGATGCCATTTAGAAATTAGAACTCATTAGAGGGGACTCTAGCCTTTTTCAAAATATTTAACAAACACCAAATTGCCAACTTAACTGTTCTATGACTTTTTAAAGAAAACTTCAAAGTTTATTGTTTCAAATAGATACTTTTCCAGATTCTAAAAGTATCATATGCTTATTAAAAAATAAAGAGTCAAACAACACAAAGAATGGAGTGGTACTCTGTCATGCTACCCTAGACTGGTAATAATTGTTTGGCATAAAGTTCATCTTTACAGATTTTTGTAGAACATATTTTAATTCCTATAATTAACAGCAAACAATATGATAGACATAGGCAATTTTAGGGATATATGAAATAATACTACCATTCATATTTTTTCTTTCTTTTTCTAAAAATAATAGTTTATTGATTTTTTTTTTAGAGAGAAAGTAAGGGAGAAGAGAGAAACATTGATGTGAGAGCATAACAGCTATTTGGCTGCCTCCTGCACACACCCCACCAGGGCTCAAAATTTGAGCCCGTGCACTGACCAGGAATCAATCCAGCAACCTCTGGGTACACGGGAGGACACCCAGCCAACTGGGCCACACCAGCCAGGGCATATTTTCATTTGACAGCAAGCATCATTTTACGTGATCCTGACCATGCTGGTATGCAACAGTCCTGATAAACACATTTGACATTGATTCCAGTAAACCTCCAGTGACAGGACAATTCATAAAAGATAAAAAAACATGATTATGTCTAAGTGATGCGAATAATGATATTCAATCCATAGGTGTCAAGATAAATCACCCTTTGTTTCTTAAGGAAACGGAAAATAAGTTTAAGTAGCCACTAACCGCCACTTCCTAAAGGAGAACCTGTTATTTTAAAAGCCTACATTCATTTTAAACTGATCTACTTATACCAACGATGTGAGAAATCTTTTGCTTGGTTGTACATAGTCACGTGTACGCAAAACCTTGCGTTCAAATATTAACTGAAGGCCAGAACTGTAGTATCTTGGAGGGTTTGATTCTGACTTCTGGACACTATTAATTGGGGAATTAGGAATCAGTAAACATTTCGAACAGGAAAAGGGCTTGAAGAAGCCCTGCTCTGCAGAGAGGTGGGTCTGTGAGAAGGGTGACTGATGAACTTGAGTAGGCAGGAACTGCAGGAAGGGAGTCAGTTGAGGGTGATTAGGGTGGTTCTGGTATGAACGTGCGTGATGGGTGAGTGGAAGGCAGAGGAAGGATGGAGACAGAGCCCAGAGGAAAACTGCCACTGGGGGGCAGAGGAAAAGGAGGAGGTTGGGGAGGGAGAGGAGGAGGAGGCAAGAGAAG